AGGGGGAATAAGGTGAGGTCACAAGAACTATAAAAGTACTTGTGGAACCATCTGTAAGTAGAGACATTTCATAAAACGATACTACAGTGAAGGCTACATCTTCCCAGCAGCAATATGGTAATAATTATGCTTAAAACTTATTTTGGTAAGACTGAGATCTGATTTTCAGCCTGCTGGGTTGATGAATCATGTAATCAATATCTTTATATTTTCACTTAAAAAAAGTAATTTCAGGCAGATACATTATTTAATTGTTTTGTTGTCATTTATTCATAGAAATATAAAATTAAAAGTGATGTGAATCCTGCACCCATTATAATGGTTCCTGATTAAGGAAAAAGATCTTATTCTTTAATTTTTTTTATCATCCCAATAGTGAACTGTAATGGTTGTTACTCTTTTTTTTTTTCATTCCTTTAATTTGTAAAAAGTATATATATGCTCTCTCAGATTGTCCTTTAAATGTAAAGCATAGTTTTGTACTGCATGTTTTCACAGTAATAGTTTAACACTGATTAATAACTCACTTAATATTTGGTTAAAGTGCCATGAGGATGTTAGGGATATTCGTTATCCTTAACAATATGATTAAGAGCTAAATTTTAAATTTTTTTGCAAACTTCTTCCCACAAATGTAGACTATATATACATCAGCGAATGAGCTTCATCTGCTATATGTACTTCACAGAATTTGATCATTGGTTACACTCAAGAGTCTTGCTTTATCTTTTGACAATTGATTTATCAGTAATCTTCCAGTACTTTTCATCAAGTAAAGTAGAATAGTACTTCGTATCTCATGCTTATGAGTTGAATTGTTTTTTTGCAAATGACTCTATAGTATCAGTGTTTATGCTGCAGTATAAATGGGTTGCTGCCCACAAAGTTTGAAGTGTAAATGATTCAGCAAAGAGCAGAAGCAGAGCAAGAAAAATATGAAAGATAATATGATTTACTAGTATCTAATGATGTTAGTAATTACAGTATGTTTAGCAAAGCAAAATGAAATATGGAAGGGCCAACAGACTTCACTCTCTCAAGGCAATTTTCATTGACTACTATTGCAAAGGTGGTACATTCATCATCTGAGCATGGTTCCAGATAGAAAGTAATATCAGAAAAGTGTATCATTTGTACATAGTAGTAAGATAATACATTAGATTTCTGAGGAAGGAATAATAATTTCTTGTAATAATCTGAAAATATTTATTGTTATCTATCACTTTGGATAGCTCTTAGTGGTTTTACACATTTTGAGTGTTTAGTTTATGCAAATATCAAATATAGTTTACTAAACCACAGTTTGGATTTATTTCTAATCATATATTACCCAGAGTATATGTACATCAGACCTTCCTTTCTTATGCCTAGTTAAACCCCCAAAATGGTGAGGAAATTAAATGCTAGAGTAAGATCTTAAATTTACATGTTAACTGATTAAGTAGTTCATATATCCTCAACCTCATTCCACAGTAAAACTTTTTACAAGACCTATTAACAATACAATCATCATTTTTTGTGAAAATGTAATTTGCCTATCATATAGCTGTGATTATGCCATAATAAGAGTACTGTAGAAATAGTAAACCATAGTACCTTGTGTAATTCATATTCACTCCACCTATTCGTTCACGAATGTGTTCTAATATTTAATACTGAAATTCAGTTTCAAGAGCCACTGTGTAAATACAAGAATTTTCCTTTTATTTCTCATAGCCATATGCTTAAAGGAATTGTGGAATAAATTCACTGAAGCACATATCCTTTACTAAGAAACAATTCCACAAATAATCAACTGGTATGTGTAAATAATGCAAAAGGATATGAAAATTATATTCTCGCAACTGACAGTCCTGCAGTTTCCTGAAATCTTGATTCAAACATGAAGATTTTAGCATGAGAAAATTGTGATGTGAACTGATTTGCATTACAATTTCTTTAAGCATATGGCTGTTACAAATCTTAAAAATGGGTAAGAATTAAAATATTAATTTACTATCCCTTTTGCTCTTCTCCTAGACTACAGAACAACTTTGTGATCCATTTGCTTGCTACTTAAATTTCATATCTGATTTTATACTTTTTATTGGCCATGGAATTAAAGAATGAGAGGAGATTAAACTAAAATTAGCTAATTTTTCATTTCTGATAGAGCAAAATTCTTAAGTTCCATAGACATGAGAAGAACTCATTTCTTTAATTGTGAATTTTGTATGAATTTTTTTACATAAAATTATTTGAAAGCTCTACTCAATACTCAGCATTTGTCTTGCATCTTCAAATATAAAATTTACACTGAATTTTAATGCAGGTATGAACTAGAATAGTGATTTTCAGACAAACTTGGACAATATTACGTAATGCTTTAATGTCTTTATGTGTGCTCTTGCTGCATATTTAGTCACCTCTATGAACATGAGGTGTATATGTGCTGCACAGCCATTTATATTTGTATCTTATAGCAAAATCTGTGTGAAAATCTGATCATTTTCAGCCTAGTAGCATGCTTAAAAAACTTAATACTTTATAATAAATATCACAGCTTCAAAAGTACACACCTAAAGCATTATTGGGAAGTCCCAACTGTATCAGTACTATTTATGTAGTAAAATATACAGATGTGCAGGCATACAATATACATATATATACTACCATTTATTTTTTTTTACAACCTACAATGTGTCTGAGTGCTCAAATAAAATATGCCGATACTCCATTGACAGAACTGATATTCTCACTGGAAGTAAGCTTATGCTATGCTCCTCCTTCATTTCTATGAACTGTGAGAAAAGTCATCCATTTTGAGGAAAATAACATTATGAAAACCATTAATATATGTATATGTAGTATACGGGAATATGATACAGAGGAGAATCCTATGAGAATAGGATGTGATATGTTCACTTCATATAATAACACATTAAATTTGTGGTTTTCTTTTTTATCTCAGTGCTGTAAAATTGATTTTGTAAATTTCAAGGCATGAAAATTACAGAATTCATCTTTCTTAAGAAAAGAATAATAATTAATTAATTTCACATCATTTATTTTGTAAATAATTCAGGACGGTAAACAACGTCGGGCTTGCGAAGTAGCTTCCCCGGAGTCTGTCGCCCGCCGATTTTGTAGCCGCCCGGATTTTTTTATTTTGGCTACAAAATGTACCCGGCGTGACTGGGTTAAGAAAAAAATAATTAATCTCAGTGCTGTAAAATTGATTTTGTAAATTTCAAGGCATGAAAATTACGGAATTCATCTTTCTTAAGAAAAGAATAATAATTAATTAATTTCACATCATTTATTTTGTATATATATTCAGATGAATGTTTTTTGAAAGTATTCATGAATATTATGACAATTCATCTGATACATGTGACAGTCTCTTTCTTTGCTGACATTTATAAATGATTAAATACTTATAGATTAATCTTGTACAAGCATCACTTTTATAGATTATGTTATTACTTGTAAATATTTTTTATATTGATTTTTTTCACTATTAATATCAATAAAATATCATTTCACATATGAATATTGTTTTTAGTTTATTTTTTTTACAAATAAATATCACCATCTCCCATTCATGTGTATAGACAGTAATGTCTCAGTTGTTATATATATATGCTTGCTTGCATGTTATTTATTACTTTAGCTATCAATATCCACACTTACAGGGAATAAGAAAATAACCAAATTCGTGCTCTATAATTATAATTCTTTTTATTCTATATATACTGTGCAACCATTATATTTTTTGTTAAGCTAACAACACATAATACATTACATAATGACAACCATTAAAAAAATATACAAGAGAATATATGTACTCTATTGCACACAAACTTTGGTTGATAAATTGTATAAAGGATACATTATACATTTAAGGCAAATATTTCAGTTTAAAATAAGGCACTTGCTATTTTATGTGTATGAAAGAATTCATTTGGTGGTCTCATCTTTTATTACTTCCACTTAAACAAATGGTCTATATGCTGCAGGTAACCTTATACAAAATACATCAGAATTGAGCATATACAACTACAGTAGCATAGACAATACACTAAAATCAAATTAAACACAGTCACCATAAGAGAAAAACAGGATATATCTACGAATAAGACTAGAAATGTCTAACAATGAGTCCAGTTTGACTCAAAATGTCATAATTTATTATTCCTGTCCGATGATGGCTATCTTTACATTCATATATTAAAAGCATTTCATGTGATACACCTCTAAATATATATACTTCACCCAATGCCGCCACGAAGATGTGGTGATCACTGTCGTAATGTTTTGTGAAATGTCCCAAAAATTATGGATGGTTCCACAAGGGCTTAGCCACCAAGGAATCAATTAGAAGACCTCATAACCTTGCCTGATTTCACTTTTCCTGGAGTTTTCATCATACTTTTTTAATAATGTTATCAATATCAATACTACCATTATTATTCTAGACATCATAATGTTATTAATATTACTAATAGCAGTACAAGACAAAATAAAATATTTCCAAAAATCAAGGAAAAGGGTAAACAGGTGATATAGGTAGGTGATTAAGCACTTGTGGAGCCAGTCATGTGTATAGACAATTAATAAACTAAACTCACAACAGGCATAGTATATCCATACATTTCATCTCCAGCAGCATCAAGTTATTTGAAATAGAATAAATATGCAATAGTTGCTAACCAAATCAATTATTACCATTATAGATTATAATAAAATAATGAGACTAGATGCTTCCTGTTAAAATATAATCTCATATAAGTGTCAATTCTATTTGAGTTATATATTGCCTGCATGTCCTTTAATGGTAAACAGTCATTTTAAATGGAAAACATATATTTTTAAATTAATATTAAAAATTACTAACACCTCAAAACAGCTAATATTCTGGTGTAATACAACTATTTCATTCTTATCTGTAACAGAACATGTCAAAACATAATACATACAAAACACCTTGCAATTACTTATGGTTAAAAGATACATTTCCATCAAAAGGCCACAGCTTATATCTGACCATAAAGATTATACAACCAAATGTCATAAGCTGAGGAAAAGGTAACTGAGCCCTTAGATATGACATCTGATTTGGAAATATTGTACAGTTCCTTTAAAGCTCTCACATCTCCCAAAGCATTGTGAGCTTCATATGATTTTTTAAGTACCATCTCCACTACTGTACTTTGCTTATAGTTTGGGAGCTTTGGGAATATTACCCTAAACTGAGCTATTGTATTTACAAAACCCAATATGTGTTGTTTAAAAATATCAACCATATTTTCCTCTTTAATTGCCAAAAATAATCTCCTGTAATCAAAGGAAGCATTATGGGCATACAAAACAGCAGGTGACCTTAACTGTAGCCACTCCAGGAATTTGTGCAGTGCTTCTGAACGACTAACTGCATGTACAGGTTTCCCTCTGTATTTCAACATGCGATGTTCAAAAGTTAAACCTGTAACGGCTGAAGCTCCTGGGTCTATCATTTTATTTGGTATCACATAAGTGTTGAATTCCCCATTGTTGTCTATTGCACCAATCTGTACAATATCACAGTCAACCATAAGAGATGTGGTCTCCAAGTCAAAGAAGACCGTGGTATGACTCTTCAAATCATTTATATCCATTTCCTGTGGCTTTGGCTTCTTCTTCTTTGTGCATTTGGTTTTATTTGAGCATTTTGTAGTTGTAGTTGTATTGGGTACTTCATTTCTTTTATTTTCTGTGGTATATTTTCCAGTGTCTGGAATACTGTGGAAACTTTTCTTCTGTACTGGTTCACAGTCACTTTTTTCAATCATATTCCTTTTCCGGTTCTGTGATGTGCGCTTACCAGCGCCCTGTACATTACCTGTTGAGGCAGAGAGATTCAACGTTTCTCTGTCCTGAACGGCATGATTGCTTACAGCATTAAGTTCCTTATTCTTAATGGCATTTGTTAGCTGATGTGGATGGATCTCTATCTGTAAATTTGGATTATCATTTGGCAATATTTTTATATTATTTGTTTCTTTATTCACATTCTGAGAAAACTTTATAAGTGCAATTAATTTGTGAAACAAGGTAGAGAATGTGTGTTTTAAATCCATGATGAGACGTCTTTTACTGAAACTGATTTCATTTTTCTGACTGACATTTTTTTGTAATTCAAGACACCAAGCTGTTTTGCACATGGTATGATCATTGAATGTATGTGGTGTTATAGCTCTTATAAGTGCCTCAAGTTCTTGTACATTGCCTTTGTAGGAATCAAGTACATCACTAAAGGATTCTTCCAAGTACTGAACTCTTTTCAGTGACAGGTTTTTATGTTTCTTCTGAAGGGACTGTAAAGTTGTCTTGAGATAATTTTTGATAATCAGACTATCTGACTTGAAAATGTCAATATTCACTTTGCTTTCCATTTTTAATGCAGTTTACAGTATTATGAATACAATACAAAATAGTGAAATTATTTCTAGTACAGTATTTTATCTACTCTTGCATAATACTAGCTGGATGTGTACAGCTTCTATTTATCATCAATATATTTATCTGCTCTTCTTGTTGAAATGCCAAAGTCTGCAAAAAGAAAGAAAGAGAAATGATAAATTCACCAACAGCACACCCTTTCCATTAGCAAGTATAGTGACTGCATAATTACATTGCATCATTTTATTTACAAGGTATTTCCAGAGGAGATGTTATGCACTAAACTACTACATTTAACCCTTTCTCACTATGCAAAAAAAACAAACCACAACTTCTATTCAAAATATTTTCCAAAAAATATATAAACGGGGAATACTTCCAACATTCCACTGCCACAGCATTATGTTGCATATTAGTAAAATTTGCATGAGATTTCCCAAGATTTCATGACCCCTCCCCCCCCCCTCCCCAAAAAATACTCTAAGGCCCAGTTGGGGTTCATGACCCATCAGCTTTGAACTACGTCATGCACAGCAGCTGTCCATGGACATGTAATTTACCCATATTTACAATACCAAAGGACAATAATAAAGTCCTCAAACCAATGCCCACAATTATTGGAATTATTAATCCTTTTTTTCCTACAAGATTAACTATGAATAGAAAAAAAGGAAGTAACTGTTAACTTACTTCCTTTTTTCTATTCATCATTAATTTTGTAGGAAAAAAGGTTTAATAATTCCAATAATAGTGGCCATTGGTTTGAGGACTTTATCATTGTCCTTTGGTATTGTAAATATGGGTAAATTATAAAATTGGTCTTTTCTAGATCACTGCAGTTCATGGTTGTCTTTTTGCCATAATCTGAACATTTAACAAACAAGGAAGACATATTAATGCAAAAATTTATCTAGTAGAAGAAATATGAAATGTATTGTGCTCTTTTGTTAAATTTCCATGCCAAATTCTGATAAATATAATAAGTAGTACTATCAACTTATATTCAAACACTGAAATGATCTATTTCAATACTAAAATAACTAAAACAAAATACACCTAAATACATTACAGATAAGAAAA